CACCCGGTTTGGTGTGGTTTTCTCTCTCCAAGTCTACTGGCCATTTCGCATGTGAATGGGAACGTGTGTATGCCATGCTGGATTCGTTTTCAATCAGGCACATTACAGTTGGTATCGGAGCCACGACCGCGTGCATCTGCGGAACGAATTGATTGGCCATCAACTATCTGGCCGGCGGTTGGCGGTTTGGGGCGGTGCCCCGCTATCTTCAACGTTGATGGCGGTGATAGTTGCTGAATGATTGGTGCGCATCGGCGAGAAAAAGAAAAAAGAAAAAAAAAGAAGAAAAAAGAAAAAAAAAGTGGAGCGGTTCCCGAATTGAGCGGATGTCGGTGGTATTTGACTAGGACGTCAACCCTAATCAGCATCGCTGTTTGACTTGAGGGTTTCGCGGCCCTCAACTGACAGGCACTGCCTGTTGGCCGTCTACGGGATTGAAGACCCCACTTGGGGAATATCAATTTGCAGCAGAATTGAGCGGCGAATCACCCGAGAAGGTGGATTGGAGGTCAGCGAGGATTTTGACGGGGCTCTGACCGACGGCGAGTCAGCCAGGCCCCTTTATCTCGGTCGATGGTTTGACCGGCGACCTTCTCCAATCAAGACCTTGATCGAGCGAGTTCGTTCCGACGACCAGTTCCCTTGATGTCAGTCCGTCGGTCTGTCAGAAATGGCTGCCAGTCTGTCAGTCGTCTAGAGGGTGCTGCCTGTTTGTCAGTCCGGTCGTCGTTGGTAGTTTTTTTTTCTAATGCGTTGACTGTTAGATTTTGCGGTTGATCGTGGTTTTGAATCTGCGTACGGTTTGGTGGCGGTCCTTGTGCTGTCGGACGACCTATTTCCGGTCTGTCACGTCAGACCTGGTCCTAGTCCAGGTCAGTCCTTTCAGTCCTGAAAGGTCGTCCCGCCGTGTCAGAACGGTCCGCCCCATGACTTTGTCTCCGCAGTCTATCACGCTCTGTTAGTCAACCGAGTGGTCGACAGCCAGCTAATTGCTGCTTGTTCTCTTTCTCTGCAAATTGAAATAAAGTTCTCCGGCAGTTTTTTTTTCTTCTGCGTGAACTCGGAATTTCTCGCCCTGCTAATTTGTGCTGGTGTTCTAAGGAAAATCCGGAAAGGATTTAATCAGAGATTATTTGATTTTTGATTAGTTTGCTGCGTGCGGTAAAAAGGAAATCATTGGTTGATTTTGCTGCTAAACGTTGCTAGCAACCTCCCTGAGCACCTACAGACACTAAGCACTAATCTGCCATCTGTCTTAACCCTTCTCTTAAAACTGAGTAAACAGTACAGCCTCATTCCGATTAGCTTGTTGTTCTGTGTGTGAACGCTAATCCGAATTTTTATTTTATTTTGGGAAAATAACACATTTGGGTATGGCTAACGGCGCAGACTCTGGCGGTTCTGGGGAGGACAGAGGCAAAGGTCCCGTTATCCCTAAAACCGCCATTGAGTTGGCGATTGAGAAGGAGGAGGCGGCTGCAGAAGAAAGCCGCAAGAGAATTGAGAGATTGAATAGAGAGAAGGCTGAGGGAGATAAAAAGGCTCAGGCAGAAGCCAAACGGGCAGTGCTGGCAGAGCATTTCTTGGCCGCTGAATCTGATGAAAGGTTCAGCGACACCAACAAGAAAATGGCTAAGTGGATCCGCTTGGAGTTCACATCAATCAGAGATGTCCTCACTGCCTGGATGGACCGGGCTGCTGCACTAGAAGACCGCTTGACTACAATTGAAGCCAAGCAGTCTTCTATTGTAAAGTCACTGGATCGAATCGACCAACGTCTCACTACATCTCTTACCTCTCCCCCTATTCACTCAGTCAAACCCGAACTCAAACCGGTCTCTACTCCGCCTACAACACCACACTCTTCGCCCAAAGGGAAACTTGCTTCCCCAAAGCAGCAGATTGTCCCTGAGGACCTGAAACTTGGCGCTGGCAGTTCAAGCCAGCAGGAGCAACGTTTCCCCAAGATGATGCAACGTGACAAATTAACTGGCGACGACGCCAAAGTGGACGTGTCAGATTGGATCGCTTCCATGAAGTCCTATTTGAAGGGATTCACCTGCCCAGAGGTCAACAAGGTGCAGTCCACTGTGGCCCTATTAGCGGGGTCAGCATTGAAGTGGGCGACCTTTGAGGCCACCAAGTCTCAGCAACAGTTATCGGATTGGGCTGTTGCAGTGGGTTTAGAGACCATCTTATAGGGCCTGGAGGCGAGGTTTGCAGATAAGGAAAAGGCCCGCAAGGCTGCAGACGAGCTGGTTAGTCTTGGCCAGACAAAGTACAGGGGTTCCCTGGCCAAGCTCTATGCAGAATTCGAGCGTCTTACCTCTACTCCCAGTTTGGAGATGTCTGACAGG